CGATTTCAAACTAGGGTGCGATATAGTCGCATCTATAACCTTTCTTACGATGTAGAAAAAAACTTCCGCGAGATATACCGTGCATAAAATAGAGGTCTAAGTAACTCCCACCCGCAAGGTACCTCAGTCTCAACTTTATTTTTAAGTTGACTGGGATATGATGTGGGTGATTGATTTGACTTCGGTATGCATCTGTACTCTTACGGGTTAATGTTAGTGTTATGATATCTACCAGCATGTTAAAACTTTGCTTTGACATACGATAATACCTTTTAAACTCAGTTTCTGACAAACTCCTCTGATCTTCGAGTACGTCGTATCTCGCCCTGAAGTGCCCGTGCTTGCGATTAGCACACAATAGCTCTTTTCCATTTGCGATCGGATTCATTGCCATATCTAATTATATTATGGAGATCTGCGGCAAGGTGTATGCGTTCAAACTTTTCATGCTTTTCTACCCTTTCGTCCTCTTCCGTTGTCATGTCAAAGTCACTAAATTATTGCTAGTCCTCATCAAATAATATAATGGGCTCATAATCCATATTATCATTCACTTCATCATCTACGCTGACATATTCCTGTTCAGAATCACTGACATCTGACATGACTGAGATACAGTATGAATACTACCTGTAAATTAACACATCGTGTAGCCACATAATGGTGTTAAGATACGCAAGGTATATGACCCTTTCCCACGTGAATTGGTCGCTTTATTTTTATTATATAGGGATAATATTATTAATTTCAAATAAATAAATAAGGTACAATGTAGTGTCACGTATCCTTTCTAAATTTTTTTTTTCTTCAAATTTCATTCACTTTCATATTTCATGTGTTGTTCAGCGGTACTACTGGCCTCATGTTCACTTTATGAAACTATGATTTTTTAATTTTAAATTTCATATTTTCAGATTAAAATTCATTTTCAAATCAGGGGGTACTGACCGACCCTAAAACATAGAGATAGAGTGAACAAATGTGTATTTAAACATGGTTTTTGCTTATTTCTTATTTGAGAATAGCATAATATAGAGCTATAGCATGGCCTTCTAAAATAGACACTATAGACGGTTTTTATCCGTTTCATTTTTGAGAATATATAGCAAATTGTAACGTCTATATGTACTGCGACAATACGTATTTACAGTACGAGCAAAGAGCAAAACAAAAACTCATTGACACCAAAACCAAAACCAAAACTTGAAAACTACAATCAGAAAAACCAAAAATCTTCTGTACAATCGATTGAATGTACCAGCAGGACATGTGCGATGAGACATTTGAGCGGCCACGCTGGTATGGAAAGCAAATTGGGTATACAAACTATTTTGCTCAATCACCCGCGGCGAGCTTAGTCCTTTTCACACCTCTTCGTCAATCAGTCATCCTAAGGTATATCTTAGCTTACAATAGTACATACATATGTGTACCAAATAGCTATATGATATGACTAAACACAGCCCACTAATATAGAAGGTACATCAATCCCGTCAGTATATCTAAAATACTTCATCGTCGTTGCATTGTGCGATGAAGTTCAGCCATATACACAGTGCGCAACATTTCTATATCCTGAAGATAAAATTCGTAGCGGCCTTCATTAGAATTACTGGAAATGATTCAAACGGATACCTGTATGGGATTTTGAGACCAAAAAAATCCAGTAGTAGAGGACATTCCGAAGGAATGCACACAACAACAGCTGTAGGTTCATAGTACCCGCCATGACAGATTATATAATTTACCACTGCTTCAGTTGAGACCGTTCATGTGCAAGAATGGCGCCGTAAGGATCATAGTATGCTCTCACATAGCATCATATCACATAGAGCTCGAATACGGACGCATAATACTAAGCTCGAGGGTATTGTCGCATGCGGTAGGACTGGAAGGTGCAAGAACGGACAATGTGTCAAGTGTAGTGATGATTAGTACGCTATTAACCCAGCTCTTCGAATCCAGAATGAGACCATCCAGTTACTGCTTCTGATTCCTCGACACATGGACAAGTACTTGTATACATTCTAAAGACTATCTCGCTGAGGGCAAAGTTCGTTAGATTATTTGCAACTCCTGGACTTAGTATAGTTCTGATATGTCATAGTACGAATTTTGACAATGTATGCTCAATTGGAAAACTCTTCTTTTCTGCGCGTATATGTTATGCATCACAGCCAACATGGATAAGAAAGGAGCCTTTTCCGCTGATGAAGCGAAGATTCACCGAATCCGTATCACCCTTGCCAGTCGCAATGTAAAGTCCTTGGAAAAGGGTAAGTGAAGGTTGATATCACAGTTGAATTAAAATTCACTGCTGTTATGTGTTATAAACTGTGTTGTGTTGTTGCACATACTACACTGTATTCTCAATTTCAAGACAAATCAACGAAGTGTGTGGTCTCGCATTGAATTCCAGTGATGCAATATCAAATGCACATCAAATGAATTAGAACCATAGTGCTCGGCAACCCAGCTACAAAAAAACATATGTATGTTTATATAGGGGCGGATGTATGAATACAGCCGTCTTGCGCACAGATACATACAGGCGAAATATACGTATGTATGTGTACGCACACGCATATAAATAAACATATAAACATATACATACATACATATATATATATATATACAGACACACACACATAATATATACATAACATCTATATATATTTATGCATATATATATATATATATCTCGACAAACGCATACATGTATATGTATACATATTTATATATATATATCGACACACGATATATATATATATATATATATAGATTCACATGAATCATGCACGCACATATGGAGATATATATGTATATTCATATATATTTGTCTATATATTCGTTGATGTATATAAATCCATTTTACGTGTATATGTTTTTATGTATGTATGTACTCGTGTTTACAAATATTTAGCGCATGTGTACTTAAAAATAAATGCTTCTGCATTGATGTATATATTCAAATACCCATATTTATAAATGTGTATTTGTATATATATGATGGACTACATAACCACCAAATTGCTTGCTACGGATAAGTAGGAAGCGCTGAAGGTATAATGAGTTGTATTTATTGTATCTGATTTGAAGATGGTGCTTTTTGTGTGGAATGTGGACTTTTTTGGTGCTTGTATGTCGAGTTTAATGATGATTAGTACGCTATTAACCCAGCTCTTCGAATCCAGAATGAGACCAACTAGTTACTGTTTCTGATTCCTCGACATGCGTTCGTTTCATGTCAAGCCTTTGACGATAAAGTGACTGCAGTTTGTTTTTCTAAATATAATATGTATCAAGGGGAAAAGGGCATGAGCTGCCGTGTGAGTAGTAGCTATTGCTTGTTTATTCGTTTTAATGATTTATTCTGTATTCTAGAGATGCAATGGCACCATAAATTGAGAAGCGGCTTTGTGCGCATCCAAGATCACGGACACTGGTCCAAATTCTAATATTGGACTATTGTTCTAAACATTCTTCACTTGTGTGATTGACAAACAGTCTGTGCCGATCTGGTTCGTGGTGCCAAGGACAAAGACTTGAAGGTCAAGGGTCCCGTGCGTATGCCTACCCGAACCCTTCGTATCACCACCCGTAAGACCCCTTGTGGTGAGGGTTCCAAGACTTGGGACAGATTCGAGATGCGTGTCTACAAGCGTGTCATCGACTTGCACTCTCCCTCCGAGATCGTAAAGCAGATTGTAAGTTGATACTTTAAATGTGTGGGGAGTTACAGGCGAAGTGTTTGTGCTGGTTTGTTTAACAATCAAACTACAATTTATGAATACTCTAATGATGTATTTCGTTGCTTGTTGAATGCGGGAGTTAGTCCTCGTCATTTCCTAGCGTATAGTTTATTTAATTTGTGGTGCGAGCGAACGGAAGGGTAGGAAAATTTTCGTGGACTGCATTGATGAAAACAGTTTCATACGCGACATGTAGTACACTCGCTCTTTTCCACGCCTATGTATTAGTTTGCCAATGATATAAATTTTGATTTGGAACTTGGCAATAACATCCTTGCATACTTTCGTGTATTATGAAGGAATAATTCATGTGCAATAAATTCATATTCTTAACGTTATTTGTCATCTTACAGACATCTATCCACATCGAGCCCGGAGTCGAGGTCGAGGTAAGTTTCGGGCATGATCAATTGATACATGTTTAGTTCTGGCTTGTTACATAGAATCTAGATTATACTTTAAAAACGCGAAAGCCTTTTGTATTCATGTAATTAGCTTTAGATATTTCATATACATGTTAATAATGACGCGGTGGTAGATTATACTCTGTTAAGCATCAGTTTTGTATAACACTTTTATTATTATCGTATAGTAGTTGTTGTATCTCTGTCTAGTGCTTTATAGTGGTGCTCACGCATTTCCGTCAGGGTTCTTACACTTTTTCCTCATATTTTTCCTACAGGTTACCGTTGCCGATTCATAATTATTGAAGCCTGTGTTAAGAGTCCAGGATCAGATCTGCTTCAATAAATATGTAGTTATCTACTGGAATTAATTTAAGAACTTAGTGCAACCGCTCAGCGGGTGTAGCTTTCGAATTTTTTTTGGATGTAAAGGAGCCGATTGAATCGGTCTGAAGTGTTTAGCCCTTCTGAATGTTGTGTTGATGTTGATAACGGTTTAGAATGGACTTCTCACTTCTAATTTGAGCTTCTCAATTGAAGTAATAGATTAAAGTCAGATTTTAGAATTTGTGAGCCTGTTCGATTTGAGTATGACTTCTAGAAAGCTAAATAGTGACGGTCAAAGATGTCGAGTTCGAGGTATTACATATTTCTTCAAAATTGAATGGCAATTGTAAAGATTGCGTCACGTTTAAAGGTAACGAGTGGTTGCATTATATGTTACTCTATCAGCTATTCTGGAATTATATACCCTCAATTTGAGCCTTGTAAAGACGATGCTAGATTAGGATACGGGACGCTCGAGAGTCAAAGAATGTACTTTGTTGAAAGTTGCGACTAGCTGCCGTTTAAAAATTTATACTGCGTTCTATTGCAAAGTATGATTCAGTACCTGTTAGGGGGTCGTCGCATGAGGCTATGAAGTGCTCAAAAGAACGCATTTCTAAAGCATGAAACTTTTCAATTGCCTCTAGTGACAACATCCGGGATCTAAAAGCGCGTAAGGCACTCTTGAGTGAATTACGTGTGCTAGAGCATCTTTGACCTTCTGCGTGCTCATTCTCTCGACCGTTTCTGATCCATGCACGGTTGCCAATATCCCGCGAAATGCTGGTCGATGATAGTAAACTTAACTCCTTCTTTTATGAAATGTGCGTATTGAGCGCTGTGTCACTTTTGGTTTGAGATCTGAACTCGCTAGTGGTATTTGCCTTCCGCGACCTATATTTCGGTTTGCTAATAGGTTTGGATGGTTTGGATGCGTTGGTTAGAATTAAATGCCCTTCATTAATACCATCATCGTTGCTACCAACACATAAAGTATTCGGTGAGTTCGTCAAACCGATGGGTTGAAGTATGATCAAAATGCCGTCTCGTCTTGTCAGAAAGTACACTTTCAAGGACATCCTTGTCCTTATCACTATTTTCTATCTCACCGGCTGCCTTCTGTTCACAATGCGCCTTCTAATCTCGTATGGACATTGTGTGATTTAGTGCCTTCAAGAACTTCGCGTCATTAGTTTCTGATGTGACTAGTAGTAATCTGATATCTGATAACGAGACATGTTCCTGATTAGGGAATATAAGCTGCGTTCTCAACATTTTCGTTAGAAACTGTCACTCCTGGCATCTCATGGCAATTTATAAGTATACCATATTTTAGAATTATGGCATATTTTTGAGAAATAGCATATTTTAGATTTAAGGCATATTTATGGCATTTTTATTTTTATTTTTTATACCAAATATTATTAATTTTGCCATATTTCTGAAATCAACGCGCGTATTACGTATTTTTTCCAACTTTCGTATCATATTCATATTTTATATTTTACGTTTTCAGTGCATATATATTTTTTTAAAATAATAGTATGCCAATTTTTCGCCATATTTAATATCGAAAAATATGTGTTCCTCGGTCAGCCTGTCACTGCTGTGGCCCTGGGCTGTGCCCTGCGCGCCTGCGTTGCCATTTGTAGTTAATTTTAATGAAGGAGTAGTTTGGATCAAATCCGAATTCCTTTCACATTCCGAAGAAAGTTGTTTTGTTTTAGAAAAGAACAAAAAAAATCATAACCAAATTGTGATTCTATAAATTAGATATTTCAGACAATTTTTTTACATCTTAGTTTTGTTCAAAATAGGCCCCCCCCACCCCCGGTATTGTATGGATTGTTTCATTTACTATTGTTTCATTTACTATTTGAGCACTTTGTATTGCTAACTGTATGTAATAAAAAAACGTAGGCATCGGCGGGTCAACTCATCAAGAACTATTTTGTACAATTTCGGTTGTGCGTATACTGTGTAAACCATACATTAGGCTGGCGTTGTACATATTTATTATATATAGTTAAATGCGAGAAGTCCAATGATACTTCCTGTATTGATGCTACCAATCCAATGCGAGTGCCTACTGATGCAGAATGGAATATACTGATGCAGAATGGAAACGCTTAAAAGATGCGAATCGGGATCTCTCAATTCTATCTGGAGGCGAGGCCAGTTTGTAAGGCTTAGAACCGAGTTCCATTTCTGAAGGAACAGAGTTTCTCAAAAACCTGTGGAGCACATTTGAACCCGGCAATCCACATATCAAGGCTTGTTCCATGGAAGTACTGTGTGTGAGAGAAGCCGCGCCACAACGTCTACGGACAGGTCTAGTGCCAAGTCTGGCGAGACCGATACAGGGGGGAGCGATAATAACAGGACAAATATATTGAAAGTGGATAGAAACAAAAGTACACACGCAGAGACCACACTTACCGTAACACCAAGAGACTATCGATCTTCTCAGGATGAGACCCAGGAGGTTAACGTTTCTAATGGCAGCCGCGGGAGCAATTCATGTGCCGTGTGTGGCAATAATGATGCGAAGGTTTGCACACAGTATCGCACCATCTACTACTGTGGGGTCAAGTGCCAGAAGCAGGACAGACGCCGACACAAACCAGACTGCAAGGCTAAACCCCAGGATAAGACATATACCGAATCCAACAATCCTGAGGCCTAGAGACTTTAAGATACGGTTGCTTCGGATGTGTGTGCGGTTTGTGGGGTAAATGGGGGCAAAGCATGCGCAGCATGTCGAAGTATTCGGTACTGCGGTGCGGCCTGTCGTCGGAAGGATCGAAGTCGGTACAAGGTCAACTGTAAATAGATCGGTCGTTGTTTGTCGAAAAGGCGTTGGATTGACCGTGAAGTCATTGCGGCCCGGGTCTGGGTGCGCTACTATTTTGAAACAGAACATAGAGATATCTGCTGTACACAAGCGAGCGTCTCGGTGAAGGAATACGTCCAACTTGAAGGATGTATAAGAATGTAGAATACAGGACCCACATATCCTAGAGTACATACGCATACTATTGCTTAATGCCTGCAGCAGATATGGTGGGAGGACGTAGCCATGTACAAGGTATAGGCAACAGGGCTTTGAAGTTAGGAGTGTTCACTGTGAAACTCATCAGCACACAACGAACACTTGACAGACAATCACACTACCAGTGGTGGTATATGTGTATGTGAGTGTAATATACTGCTTAACCCGGATGTACAACCATACGGGTCATAACTCACAACCTTCCAGCACTCAATGGCGCTGAGCTGGAGCGGCAATCTCTAGTGCTATATTTTGACAGTTCAACACAGCGAACTCAACCTTGCATCGGCCGATACCAAAAGTGTTCGTGCAAATCAAATTCAAGTCCACGGTCTCGGTACGCATAACGTTGTGCGTCAATTGGTGGTGTGTGGAAGGTGTTGCTACGTGGAGCACTAGTCGGACGGTCAATTGTAACTAGAGTTGTATCACTGTTACGCCAATCATCTATAACGGAAGTATTCAGACTACGAACACTAATTCACCAGTAATTTTACTAAAGTAATAATAGCATGAACGCCCTTGTACCAGTCAATTGTAACTGAAGCAAGTACGCTACGAACACTATTATACCAGTCAATCATGAGTGAAGTGATAATAGTCAATCATGACTGAAGTGATAATAGTCAATCATGAGTGAAGTGATAATAGTCAATCATGACTGAAGTGATAATAGTCAATCATGAGTGAAGTGATAATAGTCAATCATGACTGACGTGATAATAGTCAATCATGACTGCAGTGATAATAGTCAATCATGACTGAAGTGACAATAGTCAATCATGACTGAAGTGCTAATAGTCAATCATTGATAATAGTAGAAACAATACACACAGTCAGTAACTGAAGCAAGTACGCTACGAACACTATTATACCAGGCAATCAGAACTGAAGTTATAATAGTAGGAACAATGCACCAGTCAATCGTAGATGAAGTTAGTACGCTACGAACACTATTATACTAGTCAGTCAATCATAACTGGAGTAATAATAGTAGGAACAATACACACAGTCAATTATAGCTGAAGTAATAATAGTAACAACAATATTCCAGTCAATCGTAAATGAAGTATGTACGCTACGAACACTATTATACCAGTCAATCATAACTGAAGTAACTAATACTAGGAACAATACACACAGTCAATTATAACTAAAGTAGTAATAGTAGCAACAATATTCAATGAAGCAAGTACGCTACGAACATTATTATACCAGTCAATCATAACTGGAGTAATAATAGTAGGAACAATACATAATCAATCATGACTGAAGTAATAATAGTATGAACAATACACCAATCAATCATAACTGAAGTAATAATAGTAGAAACAACACACCAGTCAATCGCAAATGAAGTCAGTACGCTACGAACACTAAAATACCAGTCAATCATAACTGGAGTACTAATAGTAGGAGCAATACACACAGTCAACCATAGTCGAAGTGATAATGATAGGAACAATACACCAATCAATCATAACTGAAGTAATAATAGTATGAACAATACACCAGTCAATCGTAAATAAAGTAAGTACGCTACGGACAGTAGTATACCAGTCAATCATAACCGATGTAATGATAGTAGGAACAATACACATAGTCAATCATAGCTGAAGTAATAATAGTATGAACAATACACCATTCAATCGCAACTCATGTAATAACAGTACATAAATTATTACCGGGTCACCAATGAAGGCCTATATTAATATTATTTAAGCATAGTATGTATATAATACATAAAACCATACGGAGCTTTTAAATGTAAATGGGAACAATATGCACAGTCAATTATAGCTGAAGTAAAAATAGTAGGAACTATACACCAATCAATCACAACTAAGGTAATTATAGTAGGAACAATACACCAGTCAATCGTAAATGAAGTAAGTACGCTACGAACACTATTATACCAGTCAGTAACCGAAGTAATAATAGTAGGAACAATACACAGTCAATCATAGCTGAAGCAATAATAGTAGGAACAATACACCAATTAATCATATCTAAAGTAATAGTAGTAGAAACAATACACCAGTCAATCGCAAATGAAGTAAGTACGCTACGAACACTATTATACCAGTCAATTATAACTGGAGTAATAATAGTAGAAGCAATACACATAGTCAATCATAGCTGAAGTATTAATAGTATGAACAACACACCAATCAATCGTAACTAAAGTAATAATAGTAGAAACAATACACCAGTCAATCGCAAATGAAGTAAGTACGCTACGAACACTTATCATACCAGTCAATCATAACTGGAGTAATACTAGTAGGAGCAATACACATAGTAAACCATAGCTGAAGTAATAATAGTATGAACAATACACCAATTAATCATAGCTGAAGTAATAATAGTATAAACACCAATACAGCAGACGATCACAACGAAAGTAAGGACACTACGAACTAATATACCAACCAATCTAAATTGAATAAATAATAGTATGAACACCAATACATTAGTCAATCATTGCTGTAGTAATAATAGTATGAACGCCAATACAACAGACGATCACAGCGAAAGTAAGTACACTACGAACACTATTGTGCCAGCCGATCGTAACTGAAGCAATAATAGAGTGAACACCTCAATGCACTAGTCGATCATATCAGAAGTAAACAGACTATGAACACACACCCGTGATCGTACCTGCAGCTATGAAAATATGGACACGTACATACTGGGCAATTATTTATACATTACTCAGAAAACTAATGTGCCTGTGCTACTTGCTATGAAAATAATAAGATATCAAAGAAAGAAAGAAAGAAATAAATAAAGGAGTGTACGTGGTATTCCATACAATACAAAAAATGTTATATGCTTTATTATGGAAGCGTATAGTACGCAGCGTTTTCATTCACGTCTAAGATAAAGAGTCGGTTAGTACTTTCCACTTGCTGAGGAATGGAGAACACTCGTGTCGACTGTACACTGAATTCAGTATTGATCTTAGTTGAGAATAACTCGCTATGCAGGTATCAGATGCAGAAGCAGGTGTAATCCCAAGACTGTGCGTATAATCTCTTGTCTATACACTTACCCCTATGCTGCAACATCTACCCTTGCACGGAAGCGGCGGGCCTCATAAATATTCATGTGTGAAAGATGCAAATGAAATAAGAGTGAGGCATACAGGTTTCATAGTAATATTAGTCGCGTGTAGAATACAGGTATTGATGAAACACGACCGCTAAAGCACGCTGTTGCTGATTTGTATATCTCACGTGTACAATGTATGACACTTACGTGTACTGTGATTGATACTTACGTGTACTGTGTATGATACATACGTGTACCGCTTATGGTACTTACGTGCACTGTGTATGTTACTTACGTGCACTGTGTATGTTACTTACGTGCACTGTGTATGATACTTACGTGTACAACGTATGGCGCTAACGTGTACTGTGTATAATACTTCCGTGTACTGTGTATGGTACTGACGTGTACCATGTACAATAAATACGTGTACTGAATGACACTTACGTGCACTGTGTATGATATCTACATGTACTGTGGATGATACGTGCACTGTGTATAGTACTTACGTGTCTTATGACACTTACGTGTGGTATAATACTTACGTGTGGTATAACACTTACGTGCGTTGACGTGTGACTGTGTTATGATACTTAGTACCTTACATTTTAAATTGTGTATGATTTTAATGCACTTCTGTGTTGTGTATGACCTGAATTGATTGCTGCCAAAAATGGATGACCGCTCCAAATGAACTCTCCAAAATCATAGCTACTCTCTGCGAAGTATTTTAAAACCCCCCCACAAAAGCTATATTTATTTACATTAGTCCGCGTTTGTTTATTAACGGATGATTGGTTTAGACGTACAAAGACGTGTTCTATCATTTACTTCGTTTGGTTTCCTACTACTTGTGGTATATATATATGCTGTCACTACACCACCTCGAGATTCAATTAGCATTAACTTAAAAGATACACATACACATACCAATATTATTAAAGACACATCTAGTACTAGCAATATGGGTTTGATCAAAGAAATGGGAACTCTAGACGAGCTCTGGACTGAGTCAGCGAAGGGAACTGCATCAGGAGGCAAGGTAATATACGCTCGGTATATTTGTAATGTGTTTGTAATGCATATCCAGTATAGTCATTGTATATGTATCTGCTTGGCTCATTGTTAGTACACTCTAGAAGCACGACACTTTCATAACTGCGTGTTCGTCCTATCTGTATAGTTCAAAACAAACATACTCAATATGGCCATTCTACGTATACTTATGGCAAACAACCGGCAAACACATACCAATACGATATGTATGTATTTGTCTTGTCTTTCCTGCATAGTTACAAGCACTCTACAAGATAGCTTGTCCTTTTTCACTGCTGGATCTAACCTGAACTTCTGCTAGCTCGTAATACTTTGGTTGCGCACTCTATAACGAATCGATGACGGCAAAACTCAAATCCACAACTGTGGTAGGATGAACCATGGATGGTTTCGGAAGAACTACGTCCGATGTACTTTCCTCACTACTTGCTCACATGTGCAACCGCTCAATGAACTGTCGTGCATCCTTCACAGGTATTCCTCACCTTCACGTCAGACTGGTGCCCCGACTGCCTAAACTGTAAGTAGCGATGCCCTGGCTTCCGATGCGTTTGGGCTGATAGACTACAATGTGACTTGTGCGATTGTGCGATTGTGCTTTCTCTTGGCATTTGGAGCGTGTGTGATCGGGCGGCTTGCTGCGCATATTACTTGAACTTTTGGTACGGATACAGTGTTTGCCTCTTGGTCTGAGATTTTGTATTCCCTTGGTGCTGTGTGTAGTTATATAGGCTTCTCCAACGAGGCGTAAACGAGTAATTTATTGTGCTTCATTATACAGTATATATTTGTTACCATGCTTGCGGAATTAAACATAGAGGCTGTTTCCGATATACAAGCTGTTGTTTAAGCAAGATTGACCTTTGACTTCTACATGCTTTCACCAGACCGAGAATGCTTGTAATAATACAGTGGAAATCCTAACCAAAAAGTATATTAAGGACTACCTGGGATAGTGACCTCTTTGTCTTCGATATATATATATGCGTGCATGAGTCCAGTAGTATCGAGGGTGTAGTTTAAATTCTCGAGATTAACCTCGACATGCTTGCACCCACCTACCAATATAGTGGTACCCCCAGCTACGAAGGCATTCGAAGGACTTTCCGGCCCTAACGACATCATGTACCTTTTCAATGTGGGCGATAAAGAGGTCTGGAGGAACCCCGAAAACCCGCTACGCACTGACGATCGCACCAAGCTGACAGCCATCCCCACCATCATCGACATGAACTCGGTGTGTAGTATTGTCTACTTTTGTTTCATATCCCGACAAGTTCCTTATAGACCTTTATGCTTTCGTACCAAGTTCACGTCTATCCTCCACCATCATTAATATGAACTGGCAAAGTTTCAGGTTTTGCGCTTGTTTTCTTCTTGTGGCGTAGTAAAAGTACGTGGGCGTATTGTAATGTAACTAGGTTGCTCACTGGAAATGGAGCCACGCGTGCGTCTGTTTCAATTATCTCACATTGAACTCAGTGGGCCTTTGTTTCTATGTCTGTACCTGTGTTGCGGTGGTATAATGGCCAGTGTTCTGTGCAGGTGTCGTTATTAGAGATAGACGGGTGCGAATGTGTCCAATACTGTGTCACGCTATCAATAGGTGCTTGGTAGGAGATCGTTACAACATGCGGTGCGCACGTGTCGGGTTGCAGTAGTTTCAAAGTGCCGCAAAGCAAAACTCACTAGTCGTAGGTTTGGGGGAAAGAGGGGACACGTTTGTCAAGAAATAATTTTCGTACTCAAAACTGCAGCGGTGTGTTGTCTCCCTCATAATTGTCTTGTATTGGATGGTTGGTATGGCCAATTAGGTGGTACATTTTACCGTGATCTGGGACCACGCTTGAATGCTGCATCTCATATGTCTTGCATTGGGTGCTAACGAGTGTACGCCTAGCTGTCTGTACTTTTGATCCGCGTTAACAGAGTGAATCTTATTTACTTGTGCATTGTCTATGACCTCAGACCACAGTAGTGTAATATCGCACATTTACCTGGTGCTGAATGCGAACACATCTACCTTGCATTGAACTTTGTCCATTTTTTTTTGTATTGGATACTGAGGCATCTGCCTGGCTTTGAATGTTCACCCATTACCTTTGTATTGAACACGAACTATCAGGGTGTACGCCTGGTCGAAGGCGAATGTACTGTGGACGCTGTAGAGGCCCTCCTGGCCTAAACGCTGCATCGCCACCTCACACACGCACAACTCCATATATAGTTAAACACAAGTACAGCCCTCTATGATGGTCGGGAGTGCGATAAATTGGCGTGTGCCAATGGTATGTCAGCATTACATCTGCACGCTAGACAGTGTGTCTCCAAGCAGCGAGCATCGTAGGCGGTGGACAGCCTGTTCGTCGGTCGAGGCTGTCGTACTACAGAATCTGTTTCGGACTACTCAGTCGAAGAGCACTGAAGGTTGACAATAAAAACAACTAAAGATATCATTTTCTAGCCTTAACTCACAGTTAGGCGAGCTCTCATCCAATTATTGACCTTTACTGTTGCATGGCAATCGCAATCTAACATAACCGTTCGTGTACCAATTCCTGCGCTTTCATCCGCTTGATATCGAAATGGACTCGCAATACTAGTGGCATATATGATCTACATTATCAGATTGCTACCACACATGTGCGCCGTTACTACTACCGTGTATTTAAACCACAGGATATAAACGTGAGAAGTAGTACTACCTCCTTCTGTCCGTGGTAATACCATATCTCCCTACAATGTGCCCTTATTAAGTGTATAGCCAGGATCAACCGCCATGAGATGGGAATAGAACACGTGTTCATAGATTGAATGGTAATAAAAATCATGCTACCTGTCCTCAACATTTATCTTCGATTTGAAGTATTACGTTGATTAGCGTATAGAAGAGACAGTGACGAACGCGAGCTGTTGTGTGACAAACTGTAAAACCAGTGTTGCTCACAGCCCTCCTTTCTGGATGGACTCTAGCTACGGCAATCTGACCCGTATTTACCGTATGTGGGATGACACATGCAACATCATATATATGTATGTGTATACACATACATACATACGTACAACACACACACACATGTATATA